GATCGATCGATACCACCCTCTCGCATGTGCACAATACCCAAAACCTCAACACCATGCCGATGAGTACTGATCCAGAGAACACCTATAGCAACGCTGGACGACATGAGTGTAGTTTATCAAGCATTGAGGAGTGGTTACAGAAAATCCACTATGAATTCCATGGTTTGCAAGCTAGTATGACCCAAAGCGAGAAAGCCACAAGAAGCTTTTTAACTTCATGGTTTGAAGAATCACAAGACAAGGAGGATACTTGTTTCCCAACAAGTACCTGCAACCCACCTCACTAGCCACCATACCTCCATAGTCAAGCTAAATGACTTTAAATAAGCGCTGAGTGGGAGGCAACCCACTGTTAGATATTTTCTTACTTAGTTTTATTTTATTTTTACTTATTACTTTCGTTTTTATTTTTGTTTTTAGGAACATAGCTACACGATCACTACCTTTATCGACCGATGAGACCATGTCTACATCGCCCGACATAATCCTATCCATGACGATCGATGGAAGTGACTCACCATCGATCGATACGAACATCGGTCAGGTATTAGTTCCACATTTATTATTTCTTATGCTCTAACTCCGACTAGTTATACACTGAGGACAGTGTATGATTTAAGTCTGGGGGGAGTGAATTAGTGATGCTACTTTACCTTTTTGATCTCTTTAAAAAGTTTTCAAAAATTGGTTTTATTGAGTCAAGAAAGGGACAAAAATATTTCAAAAAAAAAAATTTCTTTTGCTTTTTATCTTACTACTCTTTAGCACCATTCTTAGAATTATTGATTGCACAAAGTACTATAGATGCTAAAGTGGATAACCGATCATCCTATGACAACACTTTTCATGATTGTTTGGAAGAACCAAAGCTGATTTCCAACCTAACCTGACATCTATTGCTTGTCTTGGGGCTTTGTATACAAGGGATCGGAATCCTCATGCAAGTCTGGAAGGTAAAAGTCTCAAAAAAATTTTGGTTTCCTTCTCTCCTTCCTTTGGCATCCCATAAAGAAAAAAAAAATTGAGATGATTTCCTGAGAGGCAGAGGGTGAGGTACATTACCCATGACCCCACTATTCTAAATTAAAGGAATGATGACACATTGTGGAAGCGAGGGAGAGGTACATTACCTATGACCCCACTATTCGCCTACACTTTGTCAAAAAAAAAAAAAAAAAGACTACAAAAGTTGAAAGATCAATAAGATGAACATTAGTTGTTCATTGAGATTGATATAAAAGAAAAGAAAGTTTGGGATTCAGAGAAGGGGGATAAAGAGAAAAAAGGAACCAGGATGAGAATGCCTGAAACTTGTATGAGTTGAATCCAAGTGTTCTTTGATCGATACTCTCAAGGTAAAGCCTACACCTTTATTTTATGCATAAATGAAATCAGTAGAGGGGATAGACAGACCGGATTGTTTAAGTTGATTGGCTAGATGCATTTGGTTGCTAAGCTATGATATGGTATAATGTACTTCTGTAGTTAGTAATATGAGATGTGGCTTGCAACAAAGTAGAAGTGATGATTTTAGAGCTAAAGATTTTATTGAGTTCCTACTGTTTTTAAAACTTCTTCCAAAAGAGACTAATGGTTTGCTTGAGGACAAGCAAAAGGTTAAGTCTGGGGGAGTTGATATACCATGATTTTGACCCGCTTTTGGCCAAGGTATTGATATGTTTTTATGAGTTTTATATATGTTTTGGAGTCTATTAGGTATGGTTTCAGGTTCAGGAGTACTTTGGAGTACAGTGATGATTTAGGTTCCCTTTTGGAGCTTAAAGGAGAGTTTTCCGAAGATGACTATGAAGATCAGACAATAAGGAGAGTTTTCAAAATCGGTACGACGGAATCAATGGCTGAAACTCCCCGCAGAAATATAAAAGGAATCGTTTTGTAAAACCCGAAGAATCGTTTTATAAAACTCGAGGATCGTTTTATAAAACTCGAGGACCGTTTTATAAAACTCGAGAATCGTTTTATAAAACCCGAGGATCATTTTATAAAACTCGAGAATCATTTTATAAAACACGAGGATCGTTTATAAAATTCGAGAATCGTTTTATAAAACTCAAAGAATCGTTTTATAAAACTCAAGAATCGTTTTATAAAACTCGAAGAATTGTTTTACAAAACTCAAAGATCGTTTTATGAAACTCGAAGATCTTTTTATAAAACTCGAGAAATCGTTTTATAAAACTCGAGAAGCCGTTTTATAAAACTCAAGAAGCTGTTTTATAAAACAAGAAGATCGTTTTATAAAACTCGAGAAGCCGTTTTATAAAACTCGATGATCGTTTTATAAAACTCGAAGAACTTTTTATAAAACTCGAGAAGCCGTTTTATAAAACTCGAAGATCGTTTTATAAAACTCGAGAAGCCGTTTTATAAAACTCGAAGATTGTTTTATAAAACTCGAAGAATCATTTTATAAAACTCGAGAATCATTTTATAAAACTCGAAGAATCGTTTTATAAAACTCGAAGAATCGTTTTATAAAACTCGAGAATCATTTTATAAAACTCGAAGAATCGTTTTATAAAACTCGAGAATCGTTTTATAAAACTCGAAGAAACGTTTTATAAAACTCGAAGAATCGTTTTACGAAACCGCAAAAAACCGAAACAGCCGTAAAACGCGAACTAGTCACGACTAGTTCGCCCATGGGCAAACTAAGCCGGCCCGGCTTAGTTCGCCTATGGGCGAACTAAAGACTTCTCGGATATCCCGCGCCTCGATCTCCCGCATCCCCGATTCAAAACTTACGTCTTTCGACACGGCCGCATTCTGAACCACGGCCGAAACGTCTCCCGTTCCGTCTCGATCCGACCTATCATTCAAGTTTTACGATAAAAACCGTAAAACTTCGCTTTCTCGAAAAGAACTCGAGGAAATCGTATAAAACGGCAACGGTTAAACGAACCACCGAACATTGCCTAAACTATACGATTTATTCGAGATTTCTCGTTAAAATCATAAAAAGCTCGCTCTAAATAAAAAACGTCGAGTGAATCGTAAAAAAAACGGCATCGGATCAGGAAACGGTCTCATTAAAGTCGTAAAACGGTTTTCATCGTAAAACGGCCCGAAAGGTCCTAAAACACGATAAAAACCCATCTCGCGACGTTAACGAAATCAAACCCCAAGACACGATAACGCTTTGACGGTTTACTCGCAGACGGAAGATAAAAGGCAAGTTTGAAGATAAATAGAAGATTTCCGTAGAAGAAAAGGAAGGATCGACAGATATGGAAAGTTCCTGAAATATTCGGTTTCGAGCAAAATGGAAAGACTAAAACCGCCTAAGGAGGAGTATATAAGGAGGAGGCATAGGGCAGAAGCTGAGGGACGAAATCCAGAGCTCTCATCTGAGTTTTTCACAACTTTTCTAGACTTAGAATTTTCCGCTCTTAGAAACTTAGGCTTTTTCTCGACAACCTTCGGTTTCTATGACTGGCGCTCAATTACTAGACGAACTCGCCCAGGCAGTTCGATCTCTTGTCCAGCTCTATCAACTGAACTACGTTCGACTTGATCCCCGAAAGGGGTACGTAGGCAGCCTTTCATAAGGTTCAGTCCGAAATCATTCAAACCTTTTTTCCTATCTTTTTCCGTTTTTCGTTATCGAGCTACGACTCGACTAGATCTAGGGTTTTATGTTTGTAACTCGCTGATGGCCCCTGCGGCCAAAGCCTTTGTAATTCCTTGTAATGATCGCAACGCTCTTACGCTAATCGGAAATAAGATCGGCTTTCTTTATAAATTCGTTTTATTATGTTTTTCATATTTTCCGCATTTATTTAGTTACTTGTCGTTGGATTTCGCAGAGATCCGGTTCCTCTGGAAAATTAGGGTTTTCCTATGTTTCCTTATTTAACGGAAATCGACAAGTGTGAATTTCGGTTCCCACAACCTTTATCTTGAATGTGGTCTGATAAAAAATCTCTCTTGAGATCGATTGAGTTTTCCCAATTTTATAAATCAGAGTTAGTAGAAATTCCAACAACAATCAGCGGTTTAGGCGGAAGATAAGAGGAAGATGTGATTAGGATGAATTCATGGTGAAGCCCCATCCTTGTGACGACCGTCGATAGTGAATTTTCACGGCGGAGAAGCACCGTAGCAGCGGAGACTGCATGTCAAAAGCGTGGAGTAACACAGTTTTCTTGAGGAATGGACACGTGTGTTTATTGAAGCCGACTTGGTGTTGTATCTGGACTTTTATTGGGTTTTATTATGTAATCTTGATCCATTGTAAACTTTCAAATGGCTTATAAGTCTTTAATGAAATTATAAGGTTAACAAAAAAAACATAAATAATATATTTGTGATGTGTTATATCTACTTTTTGAGATTTGTAAGTATTTTGGGTACGTATTAGAATTAGTAGTTTGAGTTATGTTCGGATACAATCTGAAACCCAAAATATCATACAAAAGATTCGAGAAAATCGCATTTTAAACCCTCAGAGTGTAATTTACTAGCGCTTTAAACCTCGAGACTATTTCACTAGCAATTTAATACCTGAAACCAGAAAACGTGTCAAATTAAACCTTGAAGTCATTTTTTTTGAATCGAGTCAACACACCACTTAATGACACTATTTACGTCGTTTCCCCTATTAAAAACTTGTGTCATTCCCCTATTAAAAACATGTGTCGTTTTTAAATAAAAAAATAACATATGTCATTTATTCATCTTCAAATCGATTTGGGGATCTAGAGTTTGCTCTCATAACGAAAACAGAGGAGACGAAATCGATCTTTGGCGTAACCAAATCAAAACGAAGGTCGAACACAGTAAATCATGTTTATACATCTGTTGAATCTCTAAGGTAGAAGTCGTTCTTTTTTTGGCTGAGAATTGGGATGGTCTTTCATTTTGTGGATCATGTGAGCATAAGGAGAATTGATTGAGTTCTTGAATTCGTGCATAGCTATCATTTTCGACTGATATAAGGAATGTTAGCATTCATGTTTATGTTGTAATATATGTTGTACATGGCTCAGAGTTTGAGTTCCTCTACCATTGAATTCAAGAACCAGAAAGGTGTGGTTTGTTACTGTAACCGTTTTGCAAAGATCGTTCAAGCTTGGACTAATACCAACCCAGGTAGAAGGTTCTACAGCTGTGATGGACGTAAGGTTGGAAATGGCTATGATACTTGCAAGTTTTTCCGGTGGTATGATGAAGAGAAGCCACATGGGTGGCAACATGACGCACTGATCGGGGCTAGAGATGTTATGCGCCAACAGAAAGATGAGATTAACAGCCTCAGAAACAAGGTACGAGCACTTACTCTAGAGAGGGAAAACATGGGAGAAACTCCGACTGATATGAGGCAAACATGTGAAACTTGCGAAAAGCTCAAATGGGAGGTGCTGGTACTTAACGAAAGGAATAAGGTGTATCGCAATGTGCTCATGACTTCATCAATTGGATTCACTATTGTTGTTGTTGTTTTCATAGTTTTATTGAAGTTGTAGAAGAATTAGTGCTATGACTTTTAAGCTTATTCTATGTTGATGCTGTTGTTAAGACTACTTATGTTTATTATGTTAAGACAATTGCTAGTTTTTTATGGAATTATGTCTTTTTCATAGAATATAAGAAACAACATTAAGTCTTAAAAACAATAAACCACACCGCATAAATCTTAAAACAAACAACATTAAGTTTTAAAAACATGAAACTACACCGCATAAGTCAATGAAACAACAAAGATAAACTCCATCAAGTCATAGAAACAACAAAACACAAAGGTTTTCCGAGACATAAAAATCACTCATGTGGAGGAGGAGGACGAGGAGGAGGATGATGTGGATTAAGATCGGACCTGTCATAAACACGGTCTCCATACACTTCAAAAGGCAGATTAGTAAATGGACTCCACAAAGTTACAACACCATGAGGAATATTAGCCGTCTTCCTTATCTTCAAAGGTTGTCCTCGTGGTGCTTTCTTAGCATGAGGCTTCGGGTCTTAGGATGATACCGCTAGTTGTGGAGCAGTGGAGTGAGTAGCTTCAACCGGCTGAGAAGATGATTCAGTAGTTTGAACAGAATGAGAGCTTGTATGTACAAGCTGAGAAGATGATCCAACCGCTTTTCTTCTTTTTCTTGCTGGAGGCTTTGGTGTACTCTACATAAGAGAGAGATATTTATATAGAGACTAAAAACTATTATTCAAATTATAAGAAACTCACCTCCAATGGTTTCGTACGAGGTCGACCATGCTTGTTTTTGGACCCGCATAAACCACTTCTTCATTCTTACATCCATTTTTAATGTAACCAGTTTGAATACAACGACTACATCTCGGTACACGCCCATGTCTTGTAGCTTTTCCTGCAGCTTCAAGCGATTCAAATGGCTCATTTTTCATGTCTCATGTTTTTGGTCTACCTCTTGGTTTCCTCATATCTGGTATTCCAATTGGTGGTTTTCATGTATTCTCCCACAACTTTTCACCAGTGACAGGCTTGATGTTGTCTCTGTAAGTTCTATTCATCACATGTGTGTAGTAGTACTCAGCCGTATACTTCATAGGATCTTCATTATTGTCATCAAATACGCAAACCGCATGCTTACATGGAATTCCCGTGAGATCCCAACGCTTACAAGCACACTGATGTGATGCTAAGTTTACTGTGTAACCACAATCTGACTCGTTAACTTCAAACACACTAGAGCTGCTGCGAATCGTTGAGCAATATTTCTTCCCAATCTTTGCTTTCTCCAACAAGGACATTGTAATGGGTGTTACAACTGTGTCCCACTTCTCTGCCATAAAGAAGCGCTTCGAAATCCTTTTCATTGCTTGTCTCCGTATGTCCTCTAACATATTTATTACTGGTTTTTCCCTTGCCATCTTTATAGTTCTGTTGAAACTCTCAGATAAATTGTTGTGGACGTCTGGATAGTGTGACTCCACACTAAAGAAAGTTCTACACCATCTCTTTGGTTCTGTGTTGAGTAATTCTTGGTGTGCCGCAACATCATATGTCTCTAGAAGACGCAACTTCTCTTTATACCCTCCCTCGGTGTAGCTGTAAGCAATTCCCCAAAACAACGATTTATACTCTGATCTCGAGAACCTAAGCTTCTTCCAATTAGCACAAATGTGTCTAGCACAAATGCGGTGTTCCGCATCAAGAAGTTCCAATTCAATGGTATGGACAAGACCTTTTTATTTATCCGATATTATGGTTAAATCCTTGCCATGAGTCAAACCGAGATCCATCTTTAGCTTCCTCACAAACCGCCCCCAAGTGTCTTTGTTTTCCCCTCTTACATCAGCCACGCAATGGGATACATTCTATTATCAGCATTTCTACCAACGGCTGCAAGCAAATCTCCATTTAAGTCCCATTTTAAGAAGCATCCATCAAGACCTATTACATGTCAACAACAACTCTTCCACGCATTGCGTAACTCCTTAAAACAGATGCAGAAGCAATCAAACATCTGACCCTCACCTTCTCTTTTACATAAGTCAGTGGTTATACCACTATTTGATCTACGCAACTCACCCTCATAGTCCCAAAGCTTGCCAAATTGTGTCATTTGTGCTTCCAAAATCGTACCCAAGGCAATGTGTCTTCCTCTATAGCACTTAGATAGAGGAAAAATAATGTCATACATATCCTTTATAGCATCCTTAATCTCTGATGCTTGTAGGTTGACATTTCTTCTTAATTCTTCTCTAAAAAGTCCAGCGATCACACCTTGCTTTAACATTGAGACTCTGCTTGATTTACCATGATTGTGCTTCATGTGGCATACTTTCACCAGCCATCTGTTAATAGGCTTCTGCACTGAACAATATACTTGGAATGGACACTTTTGATTGCAGCAAACAACCGCAATCCTAAATGATTCAGACTTTGCCATCTTCATATCATATTGAACCTTCAATGAATACTTTAAGAGTTGATCCTTGAACTCTAAGCCACTGTTGAACTTTTGAAATAACCAAATGTAAGGTGGTTGCTCATAATCTCCATGGTATTTATCCTTCTCTTTCACTTTTCTTTTCCCTCTTCACTCTCTGTTCCATTATTCATGTGGGAACCCGAATTCACACTTGTCGATTTCCATTAAATAAGGAAACTTATGAAAACCCTAATTTTCCAGAGGAACCTGATCTCTGCGAAAGCCAACGACAAGTAACCAAATAAATGCGGAAAAATATGAAAAACATAATAAAACGAATTTAAAGAAAAAGTAGATCTTATTTTGATTTCGCGTAAGAGCGTTGCGATCATTACAAGGGTTTACAAAGGCTTTAGCCGCAGGGCCGTCAGCGAGTTATCAACATAAAAACCTTAACTTTAATTGAGTCGCAGCTCGATAACAAAAGACGGAAAAAGATAAGAAAAAGGATTTGATTGATTTCGGACAGAACCTTATGAAAGGCTGCCTACGTACCCCTTTCGAGGATCAAGTCGAACGTAGTTCAGTTGATAGAGCTGGACCAGAGATTGAACCGCCTAGGCAAGTTCGTCTAGTAATTGAGCGCCAATCATAGAAACCGAACTTGTCGAGAAAAAGCCTAAGTTTCTAAGTGCGGAAAATTCTAAGTCTAGAAAAGTTGTAAAAGTCTCAGATGAGAGCTCTGAAATTCGTCCCCTCGCTTCTGCCCTATGCCTCTTGCTTATATACTCCCTTCCTAGGCGGTTTAGTCTTTCCATTTCGCCCAGATTCGATTTTATCAGGAATCTTCCATTTATCTCGATCTTTCCTTTTTTTCCCGCGAAAATCTTCTATTTATCCTCAAACTTGAAACTTATCTTCAAGTTTGACATTTATCTTCTTTCTGCGAGTAAATCGCCAAAACGTCGTTGTATCTTTGGGTTGGATTTCGTTTTAAAGTCGCGAGTGGCTTTTATCGCGTTTTAGGACTTTCCGAGCCGTTTTGCGATAAATCCGTTTTACGACTTTAGACGAGATCGTTTCCTGATACGATGCCGTTTTTTAGATAAGTTTCTCGAGTTAATCGTAAAGCTAGGCAATGTTTGATGTTTTGATTAATCGTTGCCGTTTTCTACGATTTACTCGGGGTTTTATTGAAAACGCATTTTGTACGATTTTTACGAAAAATCTCGAATAAATCGTATAGTTTAGGCAATATTTGGTGTTTCGTTTAACCGTTGCCGTTTTATACGATTTCCTCGAGTTCTTTTCGAGAAAACAAATTTTTACGGTTTTTATCGTAAAACTCGAACGATAGGACAGATCGAGACGAAACGGGAGACATTTTGACCATGATTCGGAATACGATCGTGTCGAAGGATGTATGCCTTGAATCAAGGATGTGGGAGATCGAGGCTCGGGATGGTCGGCTCGACGTACGGCGAGCTAGTTCAGCTTGGCCAGGTCACCGTATGACGATCTAGGCGATAAGAACCCTTGGGGAAAAGTCAGCGCCTCTTGGGAAGCTTCTAGTTCGCCCAACGGCGAACTAGTCGGGATGAGACTAGTTCGCCGTTGGGCGACCTACTCGGGACGAGACTAGTTCGCGTTTTACGGCGGTTTCGGTTTTTCACGGTTTTGTGCTTAATTCGGACGATCGTGTAATCGACGTTTGTTTTGTTTTTCCGAGATAACGACCTTCCGAGTTTTCCGTGGATTTCCTTTGTTCGGATATCTCTTTGGATTTATAAAACGATTTCTCGAGTTTTAAAAAACGATTTATCGAGTTTTATAAAACGATTCTTCGAGTTTTATAAAATGATTTCTCGAGTTTTATAAAAAGATTTATCGAGTTTTAAAAAAAAAACGATTTCTCGAGTTTATAAAACGATCTCTTGAGTTTTATAAAACGTATTTTTATTTTTACTTTTGCGGAGACTTTTAGCCATTGATTCCGTCGTGACCGATTTTGACACCAACAATTCCCATTCATCCTTTGATTCTACTGCCGTGTCTAGATATTCCACATCTACATGAGCCATTTCATCACCACTTTCATTATCTTTTTCTTCCTCATGTATACCATCTCCATATGCTTCCTTATCTGCCACAGTTTTCATACCTTCATTAAAGACAGGCCTAAACCTATCGTCATTACTCCCATCAGCTGCATCTACAATAACCTTGTCACCAACATCGTCATTACCACCATCTACAGCTTCATTTTCAGCTTCATCGTCACCATCTACAGCTTCATCGTCACCAACATCGTCATTACCATCATCTACAGCTTCATTTTCAGTTGATTTATCTTCTTGGACAGCCATGTTTTCTGTCACATTCTCAGTTGTAATATCTTGTTGGGTTTTTTAAATTTCATCATCTGATTCTCCTGGCTCGCCATCTTCTTTAGGCCTATCAACTTCATCATTCTCGATATACTACTCAGCATCACCACACTGAAGGTTTTCTTCTTGTTCAATGTTTGGTAACTAAATAACACCAAAGAGTTGCTCTGAACATTCATGTTCAATAAACACTTCAACAACATCTGATCCTAACTTCCCAACACACTGAAGCATCCACATCTCCCCATCCGTGCTATCATATACATACCTCAATGCTTTCATCTCCTCTCTCTCTGCCTTGAACCAAAGCAGTCCTATTGGTGCTCTTATTAGTGCATCTTTTTTGCAAAACTCAACAAATTTCTCCCACACGATTTCTTCAAGCTTCCACTCCACATTCCTACAGCCCAATTCACCCAAATACTCGTAATCATCACCAGTCTTCTTCATTGAACCACCCAAATGAATCTTCAGTTTGATTTTGGTTGCTTCCCTATAATAAATCCGACGATTTTGAAAGATAAATCCGATGTATAATCCAAACTTTTTTTAACATAATTGAAAAAACGATGACTTGAAATAATCTTACCCCATATTCTATTCATGAGATTCCGTTATCCTTCAAGCTAAAATCGATTTTGTCTCCTCTGTTTTCGATTTGAGAGAAAACCCTAAATCCTCAAATCAATTTGAAGAAGAGAAAATGAGATATGTCGTTTTTAATTAAAAAAGACAAACATTTTTTTTTAAATTAACGTCGTAATCAGGGTCGTTAAGTGGTGTGTTGACTCGAGTTAAAAAAAATGACTTTAGAGTTTAATTTGACACGTTTTATGGTTTCAGGTATTAAAGTGCTAGTGAAATAGTCTCGAGGTTTAAAGTGCTAGTAAATTACACTCTGAGGGTTAAAAACACGATTTTCCCCAAAAGATTCATTGAAAATTATATTATATTCATATTGATTTGAATTTTTCTTGTTTTTGATTGGTTCGGTTCTGTACGTCAATTACAAAAGTTTGGGCTGGTATAATATAAAACCAGAATACTACAGATATATATATATATTTTCAAAATCATATGTAGAAGAATATTTTTTATTTGATTATTTCAAATTATGAAAACTCAAAAATATAATAACAACTAATATAAAGGTAAACTATATAAAACAAATCACTATATTAATAAAGTAAAAAGAAACCTAAACACTAAGATTAAAGAGTTATACAATATATAATACTATGATATAAATCATATATTTAATTTTTTATAATAATAACAAAATTAAAGATATATGAAATATACCCGCACGAATGTACGAGTTAAAATCTAGTTGAAAATTATATTATATTCATTTTGATTTGGACTTTTCTTGTTTTTGATTGGTTCGGTTTTGTACNAAAATTATATTATATTCATTTTGATTTGGACTTTTCTTGTTTTTGATTGGTTCGGTTTTGTACGTCAATTACAAAAGTTTGGGCTGGTATAATATAAAACCCAGATTACTAAACCGTAAATGTATATAAACCGATCAATCTAATTTATCGATTTAAAGAAACCAACTAATGAGCCGGTTTATACGTAGAATTGCACTTGACTGGACAGAAACCTCCGTCGTCAGTGGGGCACGGCTTCTAAAGAAACCGATCAAAAGAACCTACAAAAAAAAAAAAAAGAAAACTGGCGAGGGAAACGAGAGAACCTAAAACCCTAAAAGACCCCTCGCATTTCTCTGCGTTAATCTTCTTCTCCATGAGTCTCTCTTCTCAGTAGTTTCGAATTCCCTTCCTTACATTCTAGTTAAATAAGCTCAGAAATAAGAAAGCTTTATAGTATCTTTCTATGGCGGGGATTCTCCGAAACGCGTCTTCACTGAGACGCTCTCTGCTCTCGTCTGAGGTATTTATCTTCTTTCCCACTTGTGTACTGCGAGAAATTAAAACACTGTCGTTTTCGTGGCTTAATTGTTTGAGTGTATGATTTAAGTAAGAAAGTCAAAAATGCTGTCAAAGAATCTGCTTATTTATTTTTCTGGGTAATTTGGGGGTTTGCAGGTATTCACTAGAGGTGTGGTTGGCACATCGTTTCAGCTCCGAAGTTTTGCTGCCAAAGGTTTCAGTAAAGCTTCTTACCTTTGTGTTTATTGAACTGATGGTGAAGCCTTTACCTTTGGCTCATTGTCATTTCTTACAGTAAGGTTACTGTCATTGACTCTGCTATTGTGTTTCTTTTTTTGAAGCTAAAAAGAAATCTAAGTCAGATGGAAGTACATCATCTGAGGAAGGTATGTCGAAAAAGGAGATTGCTCTTCAGCAAGCACTTGATCAGATTACCACTTCTTTTGGCAAAGGTTCTATCATGTGGCTCGGTCGTGCTGTTTCTCCTAGAGATGTTCCCGTTTACTCTACCGGATCTTTTGCCCTTGATTTAGCACTAGGAGTTGGTGGCCTTCCCAAGGTATGTATGTATATCTCTTGCTGATATTATTACTCTTTCCTCCAGAATGTGACATGATAGTGGTCTCAGCTTTTGGGTAGCTTCTTATTGTTTCTTCGTTATTGATAGGGACGTGTTGTGGAGATATATGGTCCTGAAGCATCTGGAAAAACAACACTTGCTCTCCATGTTATTGCAGAAGCACAGAAACAAGGAGGTTATTTACATGTTCCTTAACTCTTTGATTGTGTTCTTTACGAAACCATATTGGATTTCTAGGGTGTGAGTATTCTAAAAGAAGATGTTATTTGCTGTGTACAGGTACCTGTGTATTTGTAGATGCTGAGCATGCGCTTGATTCGTCACTTGCTAAGGCAATCGGTGTGAATACAGAAAATCTGCTTCTATCACAGCCTGATTGTGGTGAACAAGCGCTTAGTCTTGTGGATACTTTAATCCGAAGTGGTTCAGTTGATGTTATTGTTGTTGATAGTGTAAGTAAGGTGATTCATATGGGATGGATAATGGATCGATGAGTTTGGTCTAGTCTCTGCATTCATGTATTTTATTTTATTTTTACAGGTGGCTGCTCTTGTACCTAAAGGAGAACTTGAGGGTGAGATGGGGGATGCCCATATGGCTATGCAAGCCAGATTGATGAGCCAAGCTTTGCGTAAACTAAGCCACTCTTTATCCTTATCGCAAACACTTCTCATTTTTATAAATCAGGTATAGAACTTCTTTAGTTAACATTTGTATGATAAGTTCCTGCTTTTGTGTAATGTAAATCTCTTTATGATAATGTATCTTTGCTGCATAATGTTGTAAATTCAGGTGAGAGCAAAACTATCGACCTTCGGAGGATTTGGAGGTCCAACAGAAGTAACATGTGGTGGAAATGCCTTGAAGTTTTATGCTTCTATGCGTCTGAATATCAGGCGAGTGGGACTTGTTAAGAAAGGCGAAGATGTAAGTATCCAAAATCTACCTTTATAAACTCGGCTTTTTTTTTACGATCTGCCTATGTTTGTGATCAATCAAAAAAAATTATGTTGTCTGCTTACTGCTTAGTTATGACAAAAACTGATCTTGAGAATGACTAGAATTGTATATAAACTGCATTAGCATGTGTTCTATGATATGTCTTATGTTGGTGATGTGTGTGCTTAGTTGAGCAATCAAAAGTTTTCTGCTGCCTCCTAAAAATGACTAAGAAGTATCCATAAACTGCGTGTTCGTGTTTGAAAGTCAGACATTGTATGCTTGTGCAGACAACAGGGAGTCAAGTTGCTGTAAAGATAGTGAAGAATAAACTGGCACCGCCTTTTAGAACAGCTCAGTTTGAACTTGAGTTTGGGAAAGGAATCTGCAAGATCACGGAGATAATCGAACTGAGCATTAAGCACAAGTTCATTGCCAAAAACGGGACATTCTACAATCTAAACGGGAAGAACTACCATGGAAAAGAGGCTCTGAAGAAGTTTCTGAGACTGAATGAATCGGTTCAAGAAGAGCTCATGACCAAGCTCAAAGAAAAGCTCATCGTCGACGAAGCTGCAGATAAGGAATCTGAATCTGAGGAGGAAGAAGAAGATTCTGGTCGAGTTTTGGTTTCATCTGAGAACACTGATGATGAAGCACCAGCTCTAATTGTTACTGCTACAGTAGTTGAATCATGATCAGTCACCTCCGGTTAAGAATAATATTAATCTTTTCGGTTTAATGTGGATTGGGTTCGTTTTTCCCTCTCCTCGTGTAATTTATGCGCGAGTTAATCACATTTACATGTCCTGGCGAGAGTCTTTTGTAGCTTTTTATAGGAAAGTTTCATGTTTAAGGAAAAACTGAACATTTTCTTACAGAGTTCATTCTTATCTAACAAGTTCATTTTGAAACATAAATAATTCGTAGTTATACAGTCAGGCGAGTATAAAAGTAATGATTATTACATTTTTGTTGGTACATTTAATTCAATTAACATTTCCACTCATAAGGCCAAGGAAAACCCTTGTATCCTTAGTTTGTCAGATAAAACATTTTTAATCTAAAATTAGGGGTTGATCTGCGATTCTCCCAGTAAAATGATTAAAAATAAAGTTCATATTTTTGAGAGTAAGAGTTTCAAGTTTAGATATTAGCGTTTATGACATATGTTTACGGTTTATGGTATAAAATTTAGATTAACAATACTCGTGAATAAATATTTGTAAATTTGTTATTTATATTTAAATGTATTATTTGTTAAAATTACTTAATATTTTTACTTATTAATCACAGTTATTTAAGTTATTTTCCCCTTATTCCTTGTAAAAACAAAATTTTGTTCTTCAAAAGAATTCCACTAATTTAAATTAGGGTAAAATTCTCTTATCACACATAGAAAAATAAAGTTTAAGAAACAGAGATGTATTTTCAACATTTAATTAAAAAGTATTATATTTTAAAAATTATTTCTATTTATTTATCATATATTCATATAGTTAAAATACCAATTTATTATCATTAATATAAATTAATAATACAATAATTTATACATCTTTTAAATAATTATTATATATAATTGATCATTTTAATAATATATTATTTTTAGAATTTTTCATGTTATTTTTAAATGTTGTTATTTTAATATGCTTAAATATTTTTTTATTTTATTATTTAGTAAAATATTTTTTTCTGATTTTTTTTTTGTCCGCATGTTTTCTGAATAAGAACAAAGGAAACGGTTTGTTAGTAAAGCAGTGCAGAGAGATAAAGTATTGTCTCACTAAAGCTAGAGAGAGAAAGAGAAAATCAACAAAAAGACAAAAGGGAAGATGGAGAGCGACGAAGCAGCAGCAGCAGGGTCGCCGAGCGGAGGAACGGTAACTCCGGCGCCGAAGAAGAGAGGGCGGAAACCTAAGAGCAAGGACGACTCTCAGACGCAGCAGAGCGGTGGGAAAATGAAGGAAAGCAGCGGTGGGAAGGTGACGAAGACGAAGCAGAGTGTGGACGACAAGTACACTCAGTGGAAAGGTCTCGTCCCCATTCTCTACGACTGGCTCGCCAACCACAACCTCGTCTGGCCTTCCCTCTCTTGCAGGTCCCTCCTTTCTCTTCTTCTAGGGTTTTCGGTTCACCCTATCTTCCGCTTAATTTGAACAATCTGATGTTGTATTAAATTGCATTTCCTGTTAAATTAGGCAAAATGTGGAGATATTCACATAATTTTTTTTTATTTCTGGGGCTTTGACTGAAATTTTTTTTTGTGAATGTTCGAGTTAGGGTTTGGTGTTGAGCTTTTTTATTGGATGTGCCTTGATATAGTTGATGTTTGATTCATGCATTTTACACGATTTTATGAATTTTAATAAGCTTTAACGAACACAGAGTGTGAATAAGGTTTTGGTAAAAAAGGTCGTGGTGTTTTGATTGGGTTACTTTAATGGTACCAGATTATTCTTAGTAATCAATCAACCTTTTAGGCTACTTTCAGTTCTGAGGGAACATCAGTTATTTTTTCCTTCCATAAGTTGAAGCTGTATTCATCTTTGATGAAGTCTTTACTTCTCGTGCTAAGAGGTTCTATTTGGGGAATTTGTTGTTTCGCCTTAAACAGATGGGGCCCACAGCTTGAACAAGCTACCTACAAGAATCGCCAGCGTCTTTACCTCTCAGAACAAGTAAGGTTTTTCGCTTTCTCCTCTATCTTACTCGCCATAACATCTCAGAAACCTGGCTCATTAGAGTATATGTTTATTTCTCATCACATTTGTATTTTTTCTTGGTTGTGTCACCTCACCAGACTGATGGTAGTGTGCCCAATACTCTTGTCATTGCGAACTGCGAAGTTGTTAAGCCAAGGGTTGCTGCGGCAGAGCACATATCTCAGGTAGTTACTGAATTTTTTCTACCAATCTTGTGCTCTATTCCTTATCATGCTCCTAACTACAATGAATTTCCTGTCGTGACACTTGATTACTATCTTCTGCAAATGTGTTTTGCAGTTCAATGAAGAAGCACGTTCTCCATTTGTGAAGAAGTACAAGACCATCATTCACCCTGGAGAGGTGTGAATTCTGATCACTCTAGATGTTCCTGTATGGCTGTATCACGACTGGTTCTAGTTCTGTTTGTTTCATAATTTATTATATCTGCACCGCTGTTTAAACAAGTGCATTAATTTACTTGTTTGGCAGTTTTTTGAAAGTAAAATCCTGTTTGATATGTATTTATCACTATCTTTTTGGGTGTAATATTTCAACACTAACTTGCTATTGTAGGTTAACCGAATCAGGGAACTCCCACAGAACAGTAAGATTATTGCTACTCACACCGACAGTCCTGATGTAAGTGCCCACGCTTCTATTTTTTATGATCATAGCAACTGGAAATGTGTCGTTTTCTTTTCTTGGGAGTGAAAGAGAATCTTTTGTTTTGGACGTATATCCAGTTTCAATGATCTGAATAAGATACGTGATTCCAGGTTCTCATTTGGGATGTTGATACCCAACCAAACCGTCATGCCGTGCTTGGAGCTGCAAGTTCCCGTCCGGATTTGGTATGTCCTCTTCTGGGAAATGTTGTCGCAAATCGTTCCATTGCGGTTTCTTTTTTTTTTGTTTATCTCTTCGATATTTGTTTGCATCATCTGAACCACTTTTTTACAGATATTAACTGGACATCAAGACAATGCTGAATTCGCTCTTGCCATGTGCCCAACCGAACCCTTTGTCCTCTCTGGAGGTCTGTGTTTCTGTGACCTGTAGTTTCTGATCCTTTTGTTTCTGTCAGTTTCTCATCCATAGGTTATTCTCTTAGGCAAGGACAAGTCAGTTGTTTTGTGGAGTATCCAGGACCACATCACAACGGCTGGTACAGATTCCAAATCATCTGGATCGATCATCAAACAGACTGGTGATAAGACTGAGAGTCCTTCTGTTGGCCCACGAGGTGTATATCATGGCCATGACGATACGGTTGAAGATGTGGCATTCAGCCCGACTAAGTAACTTCTTAGAACAGTCCCCTCCTTTTTATCTCGTGTTTTTCTTTTCATGCAAAATGATGAACTGTTCATGTATTTCTGATGATGCATCTGGTGAATCTTTGTGACGAGAAGTGCACAAGAATTCTGCAGTGTTGGTGACGATTCTTGCCTTATACTATGGGATGCAAGAACTGGCACTAACCCTGTCACGAAGGTACTTTATCTTCATCATACTGTCAAAATTTTGAAGTTCGTACTTGCTTTCTGTTATCTTTTGTGTTGTTTGTGTTTAACAGGTTGAAAAGGCGCACGATGCTGATGTTCATTGTGTCGATTGGAACCCTCATGATGACAATCTGATCCTGACAGGGTATGGGGAACTAGATATACATGTGCCACAGACATATGATAGATAGGCATACATAGTATTTAATTATGCCTACATGTACTCATTAGATATAGGTGTATGTTACAGGTCTGCAGACAACACTGTCCGGTTGTATGATCGTAGGAACCTTACCTCGAATGGAGTCGGTACGCCAATCTACAAATTTGAGGGCCACAAAGCTGCTGTTCTTTGCGTTCAGGTTCCAAAAACAGCTACTATGTTTATTTTTTTTATCATATCACTTGTATCTAATTAACTCACTGATACCATCTTGTTAATCAATTCAGTGGTCTCCTGATAAGTCGTCTGTTTTTGGGAGTTCCGCAGAAGATGGTCTCTTGAACATCTGGGACTATGACAGGGTGTGTACACAAGTCACTCAGACATGTCAAAAATAATAATATCTTATCGTTGATACTTTCATTAATTGTTAACTATATCCATCAGGTCAGTAAGAAGTCTGATCGTGCAGCTAAAAGCCCAGCTGGGCTCTTCTTCCAGCATGCTGGTCACAGGTTCTTGAAGACTTTAACTCTCTCAACTGCTTTCTCATTTACTTGTTTCTAAGTTTTCGTATTTTTATAATTTCTTAGGGACAAAGTTGTTGATTTCCACTGGAATGCGGAGGACCCTTGGACTATTGTCAGTGTTTCTGATGACTGTGAGACTACTGGTGGAGGTGGAACATTGCAGGTAAACTTTTATATCATTTTCTTGGTAGTACCTCGGATGAGAAATTTTGTGGATAAAACATAAATGTGTTGTGCTTAATACTATCTTCAATCTGTGGCAGATATGGCGGATGAGTGACTTGATTTACAGACCGGAAGAGGAAGTTTTGGCAGAATTGGAAAACTTCAAGTCGCATGTTATGACATGTGCCTCCAAGCCTTGAGTTCAAAGAAATAAAAGAACCATTGTCTATCCATCTATCGCCTTAGTGGTAAAACTAATGCTGTTTAGCTGTCAATTAAGCGAGGAATCTTGATTATTATTAAGGCTGGTTTATCTTCCGAGATCTAGGTAGCTTTTAGGACCTTTCCAAATCGTTTAGGGGGTACATGGTTTTGGTTCATCAACCTGTACTATTTTCTTCAGCTTAAACCGAAGCAAAAGTCTGCGTGTTTCTGTTTAGTCTGCACTGCATTAAAAATAAGACTGAGCCAGAGTATTCTGTGTGAAACTAAACCGGCTAGGCTACAAAATCGAAGATGCATTGTGATTGTGATAGCATTAGAGCATCTCCAAAAAGATTCTATTATAGAGTTTGCAAAACTCTAAATTTGAAGTTTGAAGGTGTTATACTCCAAAAGCAAAACTTCAAACCTAACTTTAAAACTATTTGTATTTTATATAATGGTCCTTATATTTGTCATAACTAATTCAAATTTATAAACTTTTATAAATAACTATCATGTATAAAAATATTATAGAAATATCATTTGATAAAATGTTACACTAAAATATAAAACTATAAATAGAAATATATAATTAAATATTAAAGTACAAACAAAATACCACATTATATCACGTAATATTGTTGTTGTCTACTTCTAGTTTTAAAATATTTTAAAGATTATCTTGATGCTTNAACTTTTATAAATAACTATCATGTATAAAAATATTATAGAAATATCATTTGATAAAATGTTACACTAAAATATAAAACTATAAATAGAAATATATAATTAAATATTAAAGTACAAACAAAATACCACATTATATCACGTAATATTGTTGTTGTCTACTTCTAGTTTTAAAATATTTTAAAGATTATCTTGATGCTTTTTTTTAAATAGAAAATTTAAATTTATAAAAATAATTTTGAACTATTTATGAAATAATAATTTTAAAGATTAAAATGCTAAATAATAAATATTTAAGATTATTATAAATATGATGTGTAATTGTAAGGACCAAAGTGTAAATAAAATATGAAACTTCAAATTTAAAGTTTTGAATAATGACACTCTATATTTGAAGTTTCACTACTCAAAACTTCAAATTTGAAGTTTTAGAGTTCCTTTTTGGAGAGACAAAAACTTCATATTTGAAGTTATAGAGTGTCTTTTGGAGATGCTCTTAGTATGGGTTTCACAATATGTTCTAAACCGTGTGCAAATTACATTTAGGAGATAAAAACAATTAACAAAATATATCACTATGGTAACAACTAATCTTTAGCAAAATAAGTCTTTTTAAAAAGACCTATCAAACAACTTTTTGAATTACAGTTAAAAATACTTTATAAATTTAATAAATATGATAAATTAATAAATTTTGTTTGCTTAAAATAATTTAATAAAATAGTAAATAGTAATATGTGGAAAATTCTTAATAGATTTAATCTCTGATTTGTTTTTTACTTATCAAGTTACATACAAAAATGAATATGTATTGTATAATGTTGATTCAACCTACATAAAACATATCAAATAATCTAATAGAAGACATATAAATTTTAAAATATTAATTTTAACAAATGTATACTATTTTGAAGGATTGTTTTCATTTTTATAAATAATTTTTAAAAAATATAAATCAAATTTATTTAAATTAATTTATCGATTTTTAAATGTCTTATTAAATTTGTAATTTGGAAATCATGCTTTGGTTTATTTCGAAGGGATTTTTCAAATGAAAAATTTCTAAATAATATTTATAATAGCAATCAGACATCAACAAATTTTCATGAATCACTGACCATAAAGATTATACAGTTTTCTAAAAGGAATTTTTTGAAATGATCTAAGTAACGATCATGTATATTTTTATCTGGGCTTTGGAGGGAGCCTCTAGATGAACTAGAGTCTTTCCAGACCAAATTGCACAACCCATACCCCATCAAGATTAGTCAGACAGTTCCGGAGAAGATCAAAGTCTCCAAAAAGAGTAAATAGAGACGCGAGAATCAAAATTTGCTTGACCAGGAAGCAAATAAGTAGAAGAAGAATATCAAATTAGGGTTTTGAAACCTACATTATTCTTTTGCGACGATACTATAATCACCACTAGAGAAGCTGTATAATACGGAAGATCCAAGCCGGGTTTCGCGAAATTTCCATCGGACCCGATGGACCCGTCTCCATCCCAACCACCGCAGAAAGCCGTCCCGAGGCTGGCTACAGTAGGATGGCGAAGTATGTTGATCTTCAATCTCGGTCTTGCAGGTTAGTCTTCCAGCAAAATCAAATTAAGGTTACGTTCATAATGTGTTCGATGAAATGCCTAGCTCAGATCTTTATCATATGTATCAAGAAAATATGCCCTTTTCTTTTTTTTAAATAGAGTTTGATTCGCCGTTGTTTGTTGATCTTCTTAGCGATATGTAGAAGACACTGAACTTGCTTAAATGCAGCATCTTTGTGCATCTCGGCTAAACAGTTACATTAAATAGAGGTGGTCGCACATCGATTCTTGTACCTTTTTTTTTTGGTTCATGGACTAATCTTAATATTATGTGCTGATTCTTTTGAAATGTTTGAACAAACATATCACAGGTTTCTGTAGCTTATTCTCATTAAACCCATCTCGCTTATCTTTTGATTCATGCCTGAAATATCTCAGTTTGGTCTGATTCAGAACCGTGAAAAGCATGTTTGATGTCTAAGCAGTCTGAGTACGAATATATGATATAGCCTTCCACTTCACTGTTTGCTAATTTCGTCATGTGTTTCTGCAGCTTTTATATTTGCGAAAAAACGAGAAAAGGACATTGATGTGGGCGAGAAAATGGGAGCTAAAAGGGGTAGTAAAGGTGCGAAAAAGAGTGCTGTGAACACCGAGACCGACAATCAAGTTGCAGAACACAACAGTCAAGTTGAAGAAACTGATAAGGCTAAGAACTCAGAAACTGCAGTTCTGGACAAGGAAGAAACCGAACCGATCCCTAAACATGATCCTCTCTTTGAGTTCACGGATGCAACAGCTGACGAGTTGGTGTTTCAGGGTGCGGCGACTGAGCCTGTGCAGATAGCAAGGAAACCGATTCCAGAAGATGAGCAAAGGGAGCTTTTCAAGTGGATCTTGGAAGAGAAAAGGAAGATGGAACCAAAAGACAGGAAAGAGAAGAAACATATCGATGAAGAGAAAGCTGTCTTGAAACAGTTTATTCGCGCTGAGAGGATTCCAAAACTTCTACCTGATGATTCTGTTGATTCTTCACTTCGTGATTGGGACAAATTCTTCTCCTCCAAGTAGAGAAACATAAGACTAATGTACTTGTTTTTTTTTGGTACCCTCATTGCCTTTTTACTACTTTGATTGTTTCACTTAGGCATCGGATTCGGTTCTAACGGTTATCTCTGGTTCGCTCAAAAACTTACTTAATTGAACCTATTCAATTTGGTTAGTTTGGTTTATGAAACTTCTACAGAACTGATCAATATTTTCTGTTTTAGTTTAATTGATTTAAATTTTTGGTTAATTCTATTAATTTCGATTATTTTGGTTGGGATTGTCATGATGTAGTTATAATTTCTCTTAAGATAAAAAAAAAACACTAACTGATAACTAAATGTTTTCTAACCTAGTAAATTGAACCGAACTCATAAGTGAAGTTAAACCAAAAGCCATGGTGAATACAAAATCCCAGACCAAATTTTACCATCTAATCAACTTATAGTTAAAAAAAGGGAATGAATGTGAGCTATTATCAAACTTTCGGGTGCTTTATCAATACTATTAAAACTGGATCATGACCAATTGATATTAGTTAGGTCCAATTTAAAAATATAATTATATCAATCCCCTATATATTAAAGGAGAAGCATTACAACATTGTTTTGTAGCCACGTGTCATCACCACAATCATTCTTAGAATCCTTAGAAAAATATGTTGGTCTATCTAAATATATAATAAGATTTTTATTAAACTAATCATAAATGACTTATTAATTTTTTTTTCATTATTTCCTTAAATAAAAAATAACGGAATTGCCAAATATGATTAAAGAATATATGACATTTAATGATTTTCAATAATAAAGATTTGATAAAAATTAATGTAAAATTTTAACTTATTAAAATAAATTAAACAACCATATTAACTATATAATAAAAATTTTATTTTTTCGTATATGCTATACTTTGAATTTTTTAAAATGACTATAAATGACTAAAGTTGTTAAAAAGTCTCGCTAAAATTTTTGTGATCCATGGTTAAATTTTTATAACAAAATAGAAATGATTACAAAATTATATAAGTAAAAATGTCTCATTTAATATCTAAAATTATAATTTATTTAGATTTTATTTGATTTTACATGTCTTTAGAAATTATAATAGCAAACTATTAGTTCGACATCAAAAATATCTAAAATTTATATAAAACGAAACCAAACAAATAACAATAGTTTTGGTTATCATCAAAAAATAAAAATAAAACATTTACACCAAACAAACCAAAATAAATATAGATTTAGAATGATAGTTATATTTTAGGAGATTAAAAAAACAATGTAAAACTAAACTAATATTCATGCTAAACAAACATAATATCATTTTATCATAAAAGTAACAAAGTAATAATCTCATTCCGCGCAAGGCGCGGGTTATTACCTAGTGAATTAATATAATTGTTACTTTCGTATATATTCTGGAGGTAACTACGTATATATTCTGGAGGTAACTACCTTTTATGTTGCCTAATAATCTGTGACCCCTATGTCTAATGACATCCATCTTCCTATATATTAAATGAGAAGTCACTTTAATGATTTCTGGTGACATGTCGATCATAGGTGAAGTTTCAAGAAATTGTTATAATTTGATTGGTCGATTGTTCTTAATTTTTATTTATTTAATTTAGATCAAAAAATTTAAGGTAAGTCTAAAATCATTTAACATCACTTGCCATAAAATCTAAAGAATATTACAAATAACAATTTATCGATACTAATTCTCGAAATTATAGAAAGATTAATAATGTTTTATTTATTACTTTTAATATTTATAAACTATAATATGTAACGAACGAAATTTTATATAAGATAATTATAATAGTTTTATACTCTACTTGATGAATTGTATTCGAATATTATTATATAATAACTATTTTAAATATTACAAAATCCAAGCATCTTTATTAATATTATTTTAAAATTATTTAGCGTTTTTTAAAGAATAAATTTATCTGAATTTTAAAATAAGTTATAAAATATTATAAATTATTTATAAAAAGATAAAACCTACTACATATATTGATTGAGAAATAACATAAGTGATTTTTTATTACGTGCATACGTGCATGAATGGACTCTTCAAATTGTTATAATTTGATTGGCCGATGATTTTTAATTTTATTTATTGTAACTATATCTTAAGGATAACTCAATGACAACTTTTCAAATAATCTACTTAATTTAAGAGATAATTATTTATGGTAACTAATTGTTGAAACTATGAAAGAATAATGTGATCAAATTTTTTCTATATTTATAAATTACATAAAATAATAAACAAAAATGTTTATTTGAATTGATATAATGATTTTATATTCGTATACAAAGCCTTATGTTTGTATATAAAGTATCATAATAACTATTAATGTTTAATAAATTTCATGCATGCTTTATAAATCATTTATAAAATTATAAATAAATTTATAAATTATTTATATTGCCTTATCATATGTTTTAAATTATTATAATAGGTTCTAAGTCATTTATAGAAGCTTATATATATTAATGGTATATTAATTTATCAAATGTATTTTGAAAATTTATTTTATATTAAATGATAACTCACTTAGTTAATATTTTTAGGTGTCTTTGAGTTGTAGAAAAACTATTATAATTTGATTCGTTAATAAATTTTCTATTTTATTTATTTTATGAGTAAGAAAATTTCTTCTAGAATCAATTTTTATCAGTATCCAAACGACATAAATATATTTCATAAAATAATTTATGGTAATTAAATATGTGATTTATATAAAATATATAAAAAATGAAATCCTCTTAAATCTTTGATCCAATAAGACCCTCTTAGATTTGAAGAAAATCATGGTAGATTATTTTTTCCATATAATTATATTCAGGAAGTTAGTATTTTAAATTAATTAAACTTATTTTTGGGAAAGATATATATTGGTGTAGTCTATTAAATATATTGGTGAATCTTAGTTAATATTCGTAAAGGTGATCCTAATAATAGTTAAGTGGATGCACTCCATCTTATGAAGACCACATTTCTCATGATGTACCAATTAAACCACACTAACCGGTTTAGAGGCAACTTTCTTCACTTAAATTTTTTAATAATTTTATAAAAATATTATATTTTCTATTATTTATGTTGGTTTTGAAATACACCTATAAGCTTTGTTTCAATTATATCAGTTTAATTAAAATGATATGAAATACTGGTTAAATTAAATGGTTATAATTGAAATCGGTCTAATTTTAATATACATTTGTGATATAAAGTTATACCGATTTATTTAAAATGATTAACGGTCGAGATATGTATATCGATCTGGTTAGATAAGCTTTGGAATTGTAATTAATTATTTTTAATTAATTTTAAATATAGTTGAAAAATCTGTATAACTACCAAAGTCAAACTATATGATATGATTTTCTTAGGAAATATTAATTAAGTGTACATTTAATTAACCAATACCAAACTATAATTTTCGTATAACAAAAACATATGAAAATCTAAGTAAGATTCCTTATTACTTGGTCATTAATTCGTAATTGCTACTATACAGTATAAAAGTCTATACAAATGATATTACATTAAATGTACATTTTTCAACATGTTAGCAAAAGATTTCATTTCAAATCTCTTTTCTCTTCAAAAGGCTTTAATATTGCAGTCTTCAAAGTAAATATCTGAGGGTTTTGGGGGTTCTTCAACAACTCCTTTGTCTAACAGAAAAAACCAATAAGAGTGAGGCAATGATGTTGAGGATCAGCACCCTAGAGAACAATCGCAATATGCTTGACTTTTTCATACGTGGTGATATTCTCTATAAAACTTTTGTGAATGCTAAGATAAGAGTTTGCAGCATTACCTCCTAAACCTATTTCACATTGTTTAATATTAAAATGTTTACATTGGCAAAAGGTTTTATTGGCAAGAGATCTCAATTCAAATCTCTTTTCTCTTCAAAAGGTTTTATTGTTGCAATTTTAAAAGAAATATCTGAGGGTTCTGGTGGTTTTTACCAACTCTTTTGTCTAAAAAAGAAGCCAATAAGAGCACGAGACAATAATGTTGAGGATCAGTTCTCTGTCAACAAAAAATACTCTAAAAAAAAATCAAAACTAAGTGAAGCTGGAGAAATGGAAGAATAATCTTTTTTTTTTTGTTAAACACCAGTTCACTTACCGCTATTTCTTGGATTTGGTTTCTTATTTTATTGACTTTAATTATTATCTATTTTCTCAAAGAAAATAACATTATATCTCTTGCAATTACTTTTTGATTAACACCTAATAAATAGTTGAAAGAAACTATATTATCCTACTATCTATTTCTGTAAATTGTGGAATACAATTTAATTAAACAATCAATAATGAATTGTTACATGCGGTTCAAGGCAAAATATTTGCAAAACAAACAAAGCTACGGACAAATGAGATATACCGACAAGCTTTAGTTAACTTCTAAATAAAAGACTTATATACAACACAATTTCACTTATCACTACAAGAAAACGTTGTCATAGCGACTAAGTATTACGACTACAGATGTGTAGTCGTAATTTTAAATCACATTTACGACTACATTACGTCTAAAAAAGCATTAGTCGTAACTCAGAGGTTAAATTGCTACCAATAATAATAGACGTACATTAGTCGTAACATAACGACCAATATACGACTACATGTCCGTGTGAACGTACTCTGGTCGTTAAATTACGACTAGTGTACGACTACGCGTGTTTAGGATTTCGGTCAAGGCTTTAATGGTAGGTTGAAGCTGATTGGTTAATGTACGACTCGATTACGACTAAATGATGGTACGAGATGCTAATTAGTTGTAAAAGTTCGAAGCTAAGTAGTCGTACTGTCCCCTATAAAAGAACCATCGTTTTCTCCCAAAAGATAAACAAAAATTTTAAAATATTTTAGATATAGTGTTGAAAGATTTGAAAAAGAAGAGAGAAAGGTACTCGGATCAAAACTCCGAAGAGATCAATGCGAGACGAACGTTGAAACGTTGGTTTCGCATAGAATCCACGAAATTATGATTCTAGTATCTTTCTTCTCTTCTTTTCCAAATATTTCTAAACTAATATTTTGAAATATATTAATAAAGAGAGTTGATAATTGAGTCGAAGAGTTTAAAAATTTAAGAAAAAGAGAGAAAAAGACACTGGGATCACAACTCCAAAAAGATTAATGCGGGACTAACATTGAAACGTT